CAAAAGGGGGCTTGTAAATGCGAAAATGGATATTAAAAAATAGTGTCAATATATGTGTCAGTAAATGTTTTTTCAGAAGAAAATTTTAGGTGGTTCGAGGCGCCTGATGCTTAGGCTAATACACATGAAAGTTGATGTGAGTATATGTGGTGGATTCCAATTCGATACGGAGGTCCTCATGAATTTTTTTTAAAAAAAATAATTTTAGTGCTCTGAGATGTTATATACATAAGTTAATACACACGAAAATTTAAAAATTTGCGTAATTCATAACAAGGAATTTTAAATGCGAAAATGAACGTTAAATATAGTGTGGGTATACGAGTTGGTTCCCCAACTCAATACAAAGGTCTTCATGAATTTTTTTCATAAAAGATTTTGGTTCTCCGAAGTGCCTGATCCATGGGCTAATACACATGAAAAGTAAAAAAAAATATGTGTATTTTCTAAAAAAAAAAGGGTCTGTAAATGCGAAAAAGGGAGTCAAAGAAATGGTCTGAGTATATTGTGATTCTTTGACTCCATATAAAGGTCCTCATGAATATTTTAAAGAAATTCTTTTGGGGTACCAATAGGCGCCAGTTTCATGGGCTAATACACACGAAAAATTAATAAATTTACACAATTCATATAAAAAAGCTTGTAAATGTTAAAATGGGCATTAAAAATGGTGTAAATATACTTGGTGGTTTCCTAACTAAATAAGGAGGTCATCATGAAGTTTTTTTAAGAATTATTTTTTAGGTGCTGCGAGACGCCATATCCATGAGCTCATACATTTGAAAAATCGATTACTTTGCGTAATTACTAAAAAGGGGTCTTTAAATGAGAAAATCAACGTTAAAAAAATATTGTGAGAATATGTGATAGTTTCCAAACTTAATATGCAGGTTCTTATGAAGTTTTTTCAGAACTTTTTTTTGGGTACTCAGAGACGCCTGATGAATGGACATACATGAAAAATTGATGAATTTGCGTAATTTTTTATAAAAGGGCATGTAAAAGCGGAAATGAATATTAAAAATGGTATGAGTATTGACAGTGGTTCTCAACTTAATAAGGAGGTCCTCATGAAGTTTTTTCAGAATAATTTTTGGATGCTTCGAGGCGCTTAATTCATGGTCTAATACAAACTTATTTTTAATGAATTTGCGTAATCCCTAAAAAAGATCATGTAAATACGGCAATGACGTTAAAAATGATGTAAGTATACGAAATAGTTTCCCAACTCAATACAGAGGTCCCCACAAAGTTTTATTAGGAATATTTTTTGGGTGCTCCGAGGCGCCAGATCCATGAGCTAATATATAAGAAAAATTGATTACTTTTTGTAATTCTTAAAAAAGGATTGTAAATGCAAAATGGGAGTTAAAAATTAGTGTGAAAATACGTGGCGCTTCTCCAACTCAACACAGAGGTCCTCATGAAGTTTTTTCAAAAAAGACTTTTGTGTGCTCCAAGACCCTAGATGCATGACCTAATACACGAAAAATTGATAAATTTGTTGAATTTCTAAAAAGGCATGTAATTGCAGAAATGACGTTAAAAAATGATATGAGTATTGTGGTGGTTCCCCAATCTAATACATATGGCCTCACGAAGTTTTTCAAAAATTCTTTTTGGGTGCTCTGAGGCGCCAAATTTATAGACTAATTCACATAAAAATAAATGAATTTGCGTCATTTCTAAAAACAGGTCACTAAATGCGAAAATGAGCGTTAAAAATGATGTGAAAATTGTATTGGTTCCCCAACTAAAACGAAGGTCATCATGAAGTTTTAAGAAAATTATTATTGGTGCTCTGAGACACTAGATCAAAGGGCTAATACACACAAAAAATAGATAAATTTGCATAGTTACTAAAAGAGGGCATGTAAATATGTAGATAACTGTTAAAAATGGTGTGAGTATACATGGTGGTTCCCTAATTCTATACCGAGGTCCTTATGAATATTTTTCAGTGCGCCGAGGCGCCAGATTCACTACCTGCGAAAAATTGATGAATTTGCGTCATTCTTAAAAAAAGGTTTGTAAATACAGAAATGAACGTTAAAATAGTTTGAGTATATGTGGTGGTTCCCCATTTCAATACAAAGGTTCTGGTGATTTTTTTTAGAAAATATTTGGGTGCTCCCAGGCGCCAGATCCTTTGGCTAATATACACAAAAGAATTAATGAATTTGCGTAATTCCCAAAAGAGGCATGTAAATCCAGAAATTGGTGTTAAAAAATAATTGTGAGTATACATAGTGATTATCAATCTTAATAATGAGGTCCTCGTGAAGTTTTTTTAGAAATTTTTTTGAGTTTTCCAAGGCGCTAGAACCACATGGGCTTTATTAACACACGAAAAATTAAAAAAAATAGTAATTCTTAAAATAAGGGTCTGTAAATGCAGAGGTCCGTATGAAGTTTTATTTAAACAACGGGGCTTTTAGATTTCAAATTCATGAGCTAATACACATGAAAAAATCAATGAATTTGCGTATTTCCTAAAAAAAGTCATGTAAATGCAAAAATTATAATTGAAAATGGTGTGAGTATATATGATGGTTTCACAACTTAATACGGTGATTCCTATGAAGTTTTTATGAAAAAACTTTAAGGTGCTCGTAGGCTTTGGATCAATGAGCTAAAACATACAAAAAACATTAAATTTGCATAATTTCTAAAAAGGGCCTATAAATGTGAAAATTGGTGTTAAAAATAATGTGAGTATACGTGGTGATTCCCCAACACAATATTGAGGTCGTCATGAAGATTTTCAAAAAATATTTTTGGGTTCTTTGAGGCGCAAGATACATGGGCTAATACACACAAAAAATTGAGCAATTCGCATAATTCATGAAAAAGTCTTGCAAATACAAAATAGGCGTTAAAAAATGGCGTGTGTACAATACATGGTGGTTTCCCAACTCAATTCGGGCCTCATGATTTTTTTTTTCAAAAAAAGATTTAGGGTTTCTCCAAGACGCTAGATCCATGGGCTAAGACGCATGAAAAATGACTAACTCGCGTAGTTCCTAAAACCGGTCTGTAAATGTGAAAATGGGTGTTGAAAAATTATGTTAATATACTTGGTAGTGTTCCCCAACTCAATACGGAATTTATCGTGAAGTTTTTTCTAGAAATTTTGTTTAGGTGCACTAGGCCATATATTTTATGGGTGCTTTGAGATGCCAAATCAATAGGCATGTAAATGTGGAATAAGAGGTCCTCGTGAAGTGTTTTTTTTTCAAACAAACTTCTAAAAAAAACGTCTAGTATATGTGGTGTGATTCCACAACTCAATAAAAAAAAATCCTGAAATTTTTAATGATTTTTTTTGGGTGTCTCGAGACGCCAAATCCATGGGCGATGAGATATGAGATAAGATATAAGACGAGATATGAGATGTGAGATATGAGAGGAATATATGAGATGAGATACGGGATGATATTATGAGATGACAGATGAGATAAGAGATAAGAGATGAGATATGAGATGAGATATGAGATGAGATTATGAGATGAGATATGAGATGAGATATGAGATATGATATACGATATGAGATGAGATATGAGATGAGATAATGAGATGAGATATGATATTAGATAATGAGATGAGATAATGAGATATGATATACGATAAGAGATGACAGATATGACATGAGATATGAGATGGGATATGAGATGGGATATGAAATGGGATTATGAGATGGGATATGAGATGGGATATAAGATGAGATATGAGATGAGATAAGAGATGAGATATGAGATGAGATATGAGATGAGATATGAGATGAGATTATGAGATGAGATGAGATATGAGATGAGATATGAGATGAGATATGAGATATAAGATGATATATGAGATGAGATATGAGATGAGATATGAGATGATATATGAGATGAGATTATGAGATGAGATATGAGATGAGATATGAGATGAGATATGAGATGAGATATGAGATGAGATATGAGATGAGAGATGAGATATGAGATATGAGATGAGATATGAGATGAGATATGAGATGAGATAATGAGATGAGATATGAGATGAGATATGAGATGAGATAATGAGATGAGATATGAGATGAGATAATGAGATATGAGATATGAGATGATATATGAGATGAGATGATATATGAGATGAGATGAGATATGAGATGAGATAAGAGATGAGATATAAGATGAGATAAGAGATGTGATAAGAGATGAGTGAGATGAGATAAGAGATGAGATATGAGATGAGATAAGAATGATATATAAGATGTGATTTGAGAAGAGATAAGAGATGAGATGAGATATTACGAGATGAGATGAGATAAGAGATAAAAGATGAAAGATGAGATGAGATAAAAGTTGAAAGATGAGATGAGATAAAGATGAGATATGAGATTGAGATAAGAGATGAGATATGAGATGAGTTAAGAGATGAGATATGAGATGAGATATGAGATGAGATAAGAGATGAGAGAAGAGATATGAGATGATATATGAGACTATATGAATAAATGATATGAGATGAGATAAGAGATGAGAGAAAAAATTGAGGTATGAGAGAGATAAGATATGAGATGAGATATGATATATGAGATTAGATATGAAATGAGATAAGAGAAGAGATACGAGATATGAAATAAGATACGATATATGAAACATGAGATAAGAGATGAGATATGAAATGAGAAGAGATATGAGGTATGACATTTTGAGATGATACTATGCACTTACTCGGTAATTAACTTTTTGGGTAATTAATTTAAGTAAATCAAAATTGAGAAACTAACAATTTTAAAACTTAAAATCATTCTTTAAGGGGAAGTGAATATTGTGAGGGGGCATTGTTTGACTTAGCTATATGTGGCCCCGAGTCTGGTTTGTCCACCTGGGCCAGTACTTGGGCCTAACTTCATTTTGGGCTTTTGACTTAGCTATATGTGGCCCAATTCTTCCTTTTGTACCTGTCCTAAACTAACACATAAAATTTGATTTTTTAGTGGGCAAATCCTCCACCTGTCCTAGTCTAACAAATAATAATAAAAAGACAAAAGGGCTTAGGCCCAAAGTAACAAAATACAATTTCTGAAATTTTGGGACTTTTTGGGCCCCATATATGGCTGATGTATATCGCTGTATATCAGTGTATTTTTCGGCTCCGGACCTGTCCTAAACTAACACATCAGTGTGAGTTTTTAGTGGGCTTTAGCCCAGTCCTCCAACTGTCCTAGTCTAACAAAAAATAGTAAAAGACAAAGGGGCTTACGCCCAAAGTAACAAAATACAATTTCTGAAATTTTGGAGGCTTTTGGGCCCATTTGTGCTGCAATACGCAATATACGGCTGATGTATGTCGCTATATATCAGTGTATAATCGGCTCCCGACCTGTCCTAAACTAACACATAAATTTGATATTTTAGTGGGCTTTAGGCCCAATTCTCCACCTATCCTAGTCTAACAAATAATAATAAAAAGACGAAGGGGCTTAAGGCCCAAAGTAGCAAAATACAAACGGGGGCTTTTTGGGCCCATTTATACAGCTGATGTATATCGCTGTATATCAGTGTATTTTCGACTCCCGACCTGTGCAAGACACTAGTGAAATCAATTTCATACCCTCTTTGTAGAGCATATAATAATACTATTGTATTTTATCAATCAACCTAAGTGGATTAAAGAAAACGTACGACTCATATACCACACTTCAACAGTAAAGAAATAAAGTGATGTAGTATCCAACTAATAATTTAAAGAGACGAACATTTGTGTCCTAAGCAATTAACGAAGAGATGACATCCAAGGACAAGAAGACATTACAGTAAGCTTAGCATGATTCTTTACGCATTAAGAATTGAAGAAATTATCCTAAAACACATTTAAAAAATGAAACAAGAGAATACATACTAATTTAGACAATGATTAACAGAAAGCAATGACAGGCAGAGACATGCTTCCTATGACTGAAAAACTACATCACTGAATTCAAAGGAGCACAAGTAAACAAAATCTTCCTTCTAACATACAGCAAATAGCGACTAGTAAGGGAGGGATAAATGGTAACTAAAGTTCACAAAGTTGAGAACGGTAGTAACTGAGCCAAACGATAGTAGAGGAAGCTGAACATTTTAGTCATGAACCAAATCAGCATATAATATCAACAAAGTATGACACAAATCCATAATTTCTAGACATGACCGGGAAAGGGACTTAATTGCTTGCAACTTCATAAAAAGGGAGTGAGGAGACAGCGACCTCTTCTACATGAGTTCCGACTCGAGCAGCAACCAAGATATCCAAACAAAACCCGGACAAGGAACTTCCCGAAAATTTAGAGTTAGAGAACTTGTTCAAGAATCTCTCAAATGTCAAAGTGGCTAGCCAAAAGAAACCTTTTTGTAAGCTATTCTTTTCATAAGCCAATTCCGCCCAACCCTAAGACCTGAGGAGAAGAGAGCTTAAAAATATGAGGAAATTAGGGTTGTTTTGGGGAGAAAACTTGGGGGCAAAATTGGATAGAGTTCCCATTCCCAAATTCAAAAACTCTCTCCCAAGGACATTCAAACAAATGAGAAACTGAAGTGATGGCCACTCTTGATCACTCCCAGTAACATTTTGTTCAAAAAAGTGAACTGACATTGAATGTTAGTGTCGACCAATAAGTACACCAAGAGGACAATCAGCAAACCTAACTAACATAAAAAGAACAAAGCCTTCCACAAATCTTTTAGTAACTCAGGCAACGAAACACGATTTTCCTGGTACTTCAAGCTAGATTCAAGAAATATCAGTTTCTTTTCTAAATAGGAAATTGCAGGCTATGCCACACATTCCAAAGACCTTTTGGTCCGTCATCGCTCAAAACTGATAAAGAAGTAAAATCTAGTCCAAACAATTGATATACCATCAGCAGGTTAGTAGTCAAGCAAATGGTAGTAATGTTTAAGCAACTCTGACTAAAACCAGGATCGTTTTTGTCATTTTATACCTGTCAAAATAATACCCAAGCATAGCAAGTGTAGTGGATGGTTTCTGTGATTCCCAAATTACGCCATGTGGACTTAAGAAGCTCCAAAATTTCTTTAACTTCCTGCTTGGAAAAGATGAAGTTCATAATTGGTCATTCAAACCTATAAATTGATTTCCAAAGGAATGTACTCACATAACATCATCCATTGCTCAATTGTTCAGGATTTTACTATTATACACAGAGAACAGGTTATTTTGTTCATACAAAACAACTGGACCTCAACCCTAAGCAAGTAGGGCCTCGGCTATATGAATCCTACCTAATTATAATTCATACCGTTCCATTTTTAAGCTCCTTAAGTCCTATATTATTATAATAATTAAATAATAATAATAATAATAATAGTAATAAAGCTCCAGAAGTACTATATATTTTGAAATGCATATAAATCTCATATAAGACTAAAGGACTCCTACAAATCACAAGACCGAAATTACTACTAACATGACTAAAACATTGTCCCAACTATATAAACCTTTTCTATTGTGGCCTATCATTCGCTATGTCTACATGAATTCCAAGAGATTGTAGGTTTTTCAAGATTTCCATCCATGAGATTTTGCGGCTCATGCCTTTTTAACACCTTCACTCATCATGTCCCTCTATTACAAATTTAAGTACACAACATACCAAGACTGTAAATCCAGTGACCCTTAAGAATATAAGCTTCTTTTAAAAGAAAGGTGACATCCCAAGAGTGTTACTTTCCAGTGTAAGAAACAAGATGGTCATCTTGATCCTGGCACCACAAGGCATAGCAAGAATGGCAAGAATTAGAGAGAATGACATTCAAGTGGGTTTTACTGACCTCTGTGAGCTTTCCCTCATCTAAACATCAAAAACATTGAGAAGTAGATTCTCGTATAATTTGACATTCCGGTGATAATTATCAGCCCGGTGACATACTTCACCAGTTAAGTCACCTCCAGCTGGCCTTTCTGCCAGTGGCACAGCGATCTCTCTCAAAGATTTTAAACATTGTCCTTTGCATCTCTGCTGCAAGAGGAGGAAAAGACTGAAACAAAGAAATGATACTTTTTATGGCATATCATCTGGTATAGCATCAAAAAGAACCCTTTCTTAGTGATTATCAAAATGTCTGTGGATTGGGAAAAAAAGAAGATGAGAGCGCATACAATAATGATGAAGAGCCAAACAAGCAAACAAGAACAAAAATCAATTGAACTAATTCCATGGGTCAATAAGATTCTTTTGAAAAGAAGTCCTTTTAGGAGAGTACACAAATAAATAAAAGTACAAGAAGATAAAACATGTCAATTTCCAAAAAATAGACACTTACCTTTTTTCAAACATGAAACCCCCCGAGGGGCCAGGGACAGACAATTCGCAACTCAACAGATAATGAACCTCCAATCTAAAAGATGAAAACCCTCTTAGCAACTCAACTTTAATTCTAAGCTATCCTATGATTAGATATATGATAATCAAACTTCAAAACAGAACACTCAAGTAAATCAAAAATGTATATAATTTGTTTGAAAGAAGTGGAGTGCATCTGTAGTTTCGGCAATAAAATTAAGAAAATGAAATCCAACTAGGATTGCCGCAAATTTACATTCATTGGTTTCGACGATTAAGCAAATTGGTAAATCATGATTCAATTTGCAATTCCCTTACAGAAAAGAATAATAGGTTAAATTATAATGTTGTTAGTTCGTTGTTTGTATAGATAGATGTTGTAGGGCTCGTGCTCTCTGTCACTGTTTGTATAGATGATAGAGGAACATGTGTTCCTGGCTCTTCCTTTTATATTATAGGTAAATAAAAGAGATCCCTAAACTTCATTAAAGCGGAAGTCATAAAAATGCAATTAACCCAAGTCATTTCGGTTTGATTGGTTTCTTTGTTTGTTAACTAAAAATTCAATTTGAAACTAACTAAACCAACTGAATGCATAATATTACTCACAGTCGGAGATGCAGTGTATGTTAAAGCATGTGCACCCACTGCCTTCAAATCCTTAGCCCCCCACACTCTGAGTTGAAGCTGAATAAAAGAGTACTGAAGTTCAACTTGAAAAAAATTGTGAAAGTTGAAGATTAATGAGTAGAGACCAGTATTTTCTTGAAATATGCAATCAGACCACTACTTTAAGTCTGAATATTGCATTTCACTATTTTCAAAGAAGTTAACATACTATAAAGTTCAGTAAGTATTTGGCTATTTGCAAGGATGCATGACCAAACTAGATTGCAGATACTTAAGTATTAGTAATAAATCAGAAAATTTTCTTCAAAAAAAGTGGGACAGAGAGAAATGTACACACCTCAGATTCCTCTATCTTAGCTAAAGGAACCCTTCGCTCATGTGCTTTTATCCCAGCTTCCCCAACCCTGTAGCAGAATGATTTATAAGCCCCTCCTCCAACATGTTTAACTGAACTGCCAGAAAAAGAATAATATGCAACAGAAATGTTAAATACATTTTCATATGAATTTAGTTTCATAAATAAACAACTTTGCAAAGCTTGTTACAACAATTACAAAGAAGAGGGGACGAAGAAATTGAATCATCATATTAAGTGGGAAAGACGTGAGCACTTGCTTCTCTCTTTTAGTTTCATAGATAAAAAAGGAAATGTTAAATACATTATCATATGAATTGAGTTTCATAAATAAACAACTTTGTGAAGCTTGTTTACAGCAATTTCAAAGAGGGGAGGAAAAAAATTGAATCATCATATTAAGAGGGAAAGACAACACTTGTCTCTTTTTCCACTTATATGACTTTTTGTCGGAAAACTCGGTACATGAAATACAACATAACAATTCCAGTGGGATCAACATTGCATCCATCCTTTTACCCACTTCTCCAATCATCGCATTAAGGAGACCAAGTCATGTCCTGACGTCCATGGCCTCCAGGAATCTGTCAGGTAAAAACCCAGTAAGCAGAAACTGTAAATTCCTAAATAACAGAGTTGATCTTCAATATCTCTCTTCCCTCTTTATCTTCTAACATTTCCCTTTGGGAAATTTATCCCTTTTTAGTAGCTATCACTTTTATGAATTAATAATGAATGTCTAGCACTAGGAACATTATTTACATTATATACTCACTACCAACTGGCAACTGGTGGAGACTAGCACCGTATACCAAACAAATCACCAACATAACAGCTCAAGGAAACTCCGTACTTTGATAATATTTGAACACCGCTTGGCATAACGCCTCAACCTTAAACTAACAGAAAAAATTACTGCTTATTAAGTTATTTCATTTCCTAAATGATTTGCAATGAAACAGCAGGCAAGTTATCCCAACTTGTTGAGTTAATGGCAAGAAACTAATAAGATATCTATGCCATTAACTGGTGTGAATCGAACAACAGCAGCTAGAAGCAATCTGACATAAGGTATCAAGGTCATTCATTTTCCTACCTCCATCTGGACACGCATTGTCTCCAACAAACTGACCAATACAGATAAATGTTGTGACTGGGTCATTGCATTGTCACTCTTACTACAGCCCAGCTTCGTCATTAATCTAGATGTCTTCTCCTTCTTTATTTCCTTCGATGGTACAATGAGGCCTCCATGCATCTAAAATGCATATTAAATGCGTTAAATTAATCGGATGGGAGATGTTACAAGTCAAGAAACAGAAAAGGCAGAAATACCTGAAGGTCCAGCAGCATCAAGAAGGAACTCATATGCTGTTTCACGGAGATGATCATCGCCAATAGCTAGGAAGAAATACAGCCTGAAGTACAAGTATCTCCCATCCATCCACGTAAAAGCAAGAAAAGAATACATTTTGAAAGAAGATAATGGAATCTACAAGTGAAGTAGTGTAAACGATCAGGAATTCTGGAATAGAATAACATATTTAGCTGTTTTCATCAAATACTTGTTCCAGTAATCAATCTGAAAGTTCCTATTACGTGCCAACACATGTACTCAAGGCTTCAAACATTGTATAAAATCAAAGAATTCAAACATCAAAATGCAAAAAAGAAGTATGGATTTTATATGAAGCTCCAAAACAAGCTCTTTCACTCCACCATAGGCTGTTTACAAAGTAAAGGTAAAATAAACTAGTTAAATGGATATGATGACCTCACTTCATTCAATTTCACATTTAACATTTATCGATATATTTCCCAAACAGACTTCAAACCAATAAGGTGCCAGAAATAACTGAGGATCAAATGACATCAACGTGTCACTGATTTTCGTGCACAAGCACAGAACTTAACTTATCATTTGGTTAGGGTTTATGAAAGATGAAATAAGCTTCAGAACAAATTAAATACTATTGCAACTAGGTACGAGAGAAGTTATCACAGAAGAGTAATAAATACTTGAATGTCATTCAAGAAAACATTAGCGGGAACTCTTTATGCTTAAAAAGCACCAAATGAAAAAATTAGAGATGTTAAAGATCACGAATAGAACTTGTATAACTTTTCTTTTTAACATAGTCAAGTGAAAAACTTATATAACTATGCAAGTTTTTCCTTTTATAAACATAATCAAGTGAACAGTGATTAGAGGAGAAAATCACAAAGATCTATAACAAAATAAAATAAAAATTTAAGCACTAAAGCGAGTTGCATCAAAATATCTGAGAATTAATAATCTGACAACTAGTTTTGTTTACGATAATCAAAGGTCAGAAAAACATTAAACATGCATCAAGATAGTGCTAACTCTTTCTAATCTACAAAAAGAAAAAAAGCATAAAGGATTACAGTTTTACAAAATTAAATAATGTCTATCACAGCTGGAAGAAGTTAGAAAATCAAAAAAATCACGCAAGTATAGGTGGTTCCTTATGCTCCTGATAAAAAGGGAACGGATATTCTCCCAATATCAAGCTACTATAGAAGTATGCTACGTTCACGACCTTGGTGCAGCATTGCTTGAACTGCAATTAACATGGACGAGAACTGAAATCTATTTATCATTAGGATACAATGCTTCAGAGTATAGTGGTTATATTCCCTTATCAAAAAAATTCATTTATCATTGAGTAAAAATTGCACAGAAACTAAAGCAGTTATAAGATACATCTGCATCAATGTTGTTAATAGTTTCCTAGTCATGAGTCAGCACCCTAAGCACAAAGTAACCAGTAGTACAAATATAGAACCAGAGAGAAATCTCGAAGTACTCTTACCTTCCCGATCTTTTTTTTCCGAGAATGGTAACCATTACTCTCCCCATCTTTTATTTTTCTGGTATAATTAGTACTATAGATATAACACCTTAGAGTTAAAAGACAAGCAAATTACAACCTAATACTGCCAAAATGAAATGGTCACACTTATGACAGCAGAAGTTACAGGTCCACCATACACATATACACCTAAAATAAGTCGCTTACCAGTAGCAAATAACGGCAATCCAAGCACAAGATCACCAGCAGCATTGGAACTCTTCTTGAAAACCTTTGACTGTCAAGTTCATCTAGATCATCATCGTCATCAAAATCCTCAATGTATTCAACTGTTAACTCTTGTTGTTGTGTGGAACTGAGATACTGAGATTTGGATAAACTAGACAGTTCTTCAAATGGGCAGTAACAATTGATCCTGACATTGAGAGTGTTTGCAAAATTGGTGATGTGGAAATAGGGACAGGCAATCTTCCTGGAGGCCAACCCGAGAGTTCAGGATTTCTAGCTAGAAAGCATTCATCATTTGAACTTGCATTACTTTTAATACCAAAAGGAAACCGTCAAGAATGAAAATAAACATAGATAATAGAACACACTAAATAAAGTGTTGGAATAGGTATTAAGTGCTGCACAACAAGACCGTATGAAATAATTCTAATGTTGCAGTAGATAAACCTCTGGAACTGAAACATTCACAAATAGTAACTATTCAACAGAAATTGATGCATGTGAACATTCAAAAAATAGTGACCATTGAACAGAAAATAATGTCTGTGCAAGTCTGAATTTACCATATGAGGGAACAGAGTGTTTTCGTGATAACCTCGAATAGCATCAGATTGTTCAAGAAGTTTGCCTACCCAAAAAAAGAAACAATCCTGACCTGATGACTGCAATCCATTTTAAAGCAAATATATAGAGGGTTTTTTGTGGTGGACATTCCCTGCCTTTTCTTGCACCATTGAAGAAAAAATCAACCCTAAATTGATCGAGATCCACCTCATCCAAGGAAATTTAATAGCATCCGCCGAGTTCTCCCTGCAAATACAGACAACACATTCAATAAATTCTCTGCCATGAAATCTCCTTAACACATCAAGAATCTTTCACCTTAAGATTTACTTCAAACCAACATCGAGATCTATTATTCAAAACAAGGAAAGAATCCACTGGATCTTAAAATTACTTACTTGCAACTTCAACGTAAATCCACGTACTTAACAACTCCCAAAAATAAGAACCCTAAAACCCAAGTTCAGTAACCAAAGAAACAAATTCCAATCAGAGGAAATATTAAACAACAACCAAAAAACAGATGAATTTGGTAATCTTCTTGTTCTTGGAGGTAAGCAGATGAAAATGAACATAACCTTACAAAAGGTTCAAATGATGTGTGTGTATATATATATATATATGATACTCACTTTCATTTCAACGGTCACTTTTGTTAGTTAGGTTCAATGGTGCATATATATGATATTTATTTTCATTTTCAACCATCATTTCAACGGTCACTTTTATTTTTAACAGTCACTTTTTATTAGGTTCAAATTATGTATACACATGATATTCATTTTCATTTTTAATGATCACCTTTTGTTAGGTTCAAATGATGTATATGTATGATTTTCATTTTCAACGGTCACCTTTTGTTAGGTTCAAATGATATATATATATGATATTCATTTTCATTTTCATTTTCAACGGTCACCTTTTGTTAAGTTCAGATGACGTATATATATGATATTCATTTTCATTTTTATTATCAATGTCTTCTTTTGTTAGATTCAAATGATGTATATATATGATATTTATTTTCATTTCAACGGTCACTTTTAATATTAATTAGATAAAATTTAGAAGATACAAATACCATCAATATGCTATTATATATATATATATATATATATATATATATATCGTGTAAAAATATATATGATATTTCAAATGAATTCTAATTAAAAATTTGAAAGACATGATATCAATTATTATTATTATTATTATAATAATAATAACTTTAAATACGACTTTATTTTTTTGAATATATTATAATTTAAAAATTATTTATCGGTAATTTATTTTTTAAAAAAGAACATTTGTTAGTGTTTTTTTAATTGATAATTTTTTTTAAAAAATCTCCAAACTATTAAAATGATTATAGCTATCAATTTTGTTTTTTGGCAGTTTTATTCGATAAATTTTAACATAATTATTTATCAAATTAAAATTATATTTTTCTTGAGATAGTTTTTTTAAAAAATAAAAATCTAACTGAAAAATTATCATTATTTTGATGAGACATGTGGCTTTATTTGCAAAATATGAATTTATAGTATATTAAATTTATCATTTGTAAGAGATGATAATTAGAAAATCTTTGTGTTGATAACATTTATTTTTTTACAAAATAGAGATTTGATATATTTAAGTCATTTTTATATAAAATTAAACTTTGAATAGATACGCAGCACCTTTGGCTTATAATTGAGTTTTAAGAGATTAAAATAGTTAAGTAATTAGGTGAGAGATTTTAAGAGATAATTTAGATTATTTTTTTCTTCTTCTTCTTTATCTCGGATACATGTTTAATTTTTAATTTATTTTGTATCATGGCATTTTTTAATTTATTTTCTAATCAATTAGTTAATTTTATTTTTTTTTGGTTTTGTTTTGGCCTTATTCTAAAACTACTAGTTGTCGTTGCTAAAAAAGTTATCTCTTAAATGTTTTTGTTATAGTTCGATTTACAAATTTATATAATTTGAATTATAAAGTTTTTAAAAACAAAATATTTGATCTGTTATCTAAATTTTAGACTTGCAATTCAATATGAAAAAAAAACTACAATTACACAAATTTAATTTAACCCATGTAGGAGATAATACAGTAAGTTAGGTAATTGGTAATTTGTTAGTATTTTTTATTACTAAGTTCAATTTTTTTTAAAACATATGTAAATTAGTAATATATAAATATTACGTGGTGTTTATGATAGTTGCATTTGATAGATTTTGACATAATTATTTTTCAAATTTTAAAAATATATTTAAAATTTTAAAATATGGTATTTGGCAAGTTAGAGTGTTTTATTTCACTTTTAATGTAGGTGATTGCTAATTAGTTCTTTTAGATTTCTTAAATTCCCACTAAATCTTCACAGTTTATCTTTTTAACCTCTAGAAAGATAACATAAAATCTTAAATAATTTTAACAAAAAGTTGAGAACATTTCATGGAAAAATAATTATCAAGCAAAATCATATTTGATAAATTTTGTATTATCTTAAACTATGAGCCTTGAACACATACCTATAATTAGGGCGGGAGGCGGAGGGCATCGAGGCATGCAAGGCGCGTTCCTCGGGGCAGAGGGCCTTGAGGCACGCAGGGTGCATGCCTCAGGGCAGGAAATAGAGGATCTTGAGGCATGCAGGGTGTGTGCCTCAAGGAAGGGGGCAGAGGGCTCGAGACACGGAGGGTGTGTGCCTCATGACGGGGTGCAGAGGGCCTCGAGGCACGCAGGGCACGTGCCTCGAGGCAGGGCATGTGTCTCAGGCAGAGGGCGTAGTGCTTCGAGGCACGTAGGGCGCGTGTCTCGAGACGGGTGACGAAGGGTCTAGAGGTATGTAGGATGCGTGTCTCGGGGCGGGTGGCAAATGGCCTCGAGGCACGAAGAGGGCGTGTCTCGAGGCGGGTGACAGAGGGGCCTCAAGGCAAGCAAAGTGCGTGCCTCGGGGCAGGGGGCGAAGAGCCTCAAGGAACACAGGGCACGTGCCTCGTGGCGTGGGGAAGAGGGCCAAGAGGCACACAGGACGTGTGCCTCGAGGCGACGGGTGGAAAACCTCGAGGCAGGCACCTTGTGTGCCTCGGGGCGAGTGGTGAGGGCCTCGAGGCACGCAGGGCACGTGTCTCGATGGGGTAGGTGGAGGGGACTAAAGGCACGCAAGGCACGTGTCTTGAGGCAGAAGGCATAGGGGCCTCGAGACATAGAGGGCGAGTGTCTCAAGGCGAGGGCGGAGGGGCCTCGAGGCATGTAGGGCGCGTGTCTTGAGAAGGGGCCTCGAGGCATGCAAGACACGTGTCCCCAAGTAGGGGGGAGGGGGGGCCTCAAGTCACGTAGGGTGTGTGTCTCGATAAGTCTGCAATTATAATTTATTGCTTACTTATATTGTATCAATTTTGTTTATCAGAAATGGAAAACACTGGTGTACAGTGGTTGTTGCTGCACCAACCCGAACTCTTGTATCACAAGCAGAGAAACCGGGAATGTGCTATAACTCCTCTTCAACTTGTTTGTTATTATTGATACTTTTTTTGTCTTATATAATACAACATTGAGCATACAGGGAGATTTATTTAGAGGTAGATGTAGAAGGAAAGGTAGAAGAAGAGTGATCAGTACCCTTTGTGCCAGTTGAAAAAAGGACTGATTGGTTTTCACTAGAAGTTACTTGCATCTCATCATATTTGTCTCTTAAACCTTGAAAATTAAATTCATCATCGTAGCCACTTGAATCGATGTTAGACTCGTCAACGTTCAAACGACCTTCAAGCATGTTTACTACTGCAGACATGTTTGGCCTTAGTGCTGGAGATGGATTAGTACATCGTAAGGCCACTTTAATCATCCTCAACGCCTCCTCCTTGTCGTAATAGGAACCTAACCTTGGGTCTACTAGCTCCAAAAACTTACCCTTTTTTTGTAGAACCAGGGCCTGAAAGAAGCACAATATCAAATGGGAAAGCTTGTGAAAGATACTCTTTGAAATACTACTTGATCAACACAAAATGAACTTCTCATCAAGCAACTGAGACGTGCTTCAAATGTTTACTATTCATGGAACTGATACCAAGAGATGCTGGTTTCTTACCCAATCAAGAAGACAAACATAATTCTCATCAGGATGATATTTCATGTTGTTCTTCCCAGCAACGAGTTCCAATACAACCACTCCAAAACTGTATAAATCTGCTTTATGTGTTAAATAACCCCAGAGTGCATATTCAGGGGCCATATAACCTCTGCAAAAACAAACTAACAAAGTTATACGAGCTTGATGAACAGGAACGTCCTGAAAGGCTTAAACTAATGCTCTATACCTCAACACTAAGTGAAAATGGACAGCATAAGTAATTGTAGAAGCAATTGTTAATCTCTACTAGTTTACTGTAGTTGTAATATAAAACACGGATTTTTTAAAGACGGGTAGCTTTGAAGAATAACTTAAAATTTTAGGTAACCTTAATAATCTGTTGAGCACTTGGGATCAATAAGGTGCTAGCTATGTACCTTTTGGAATTATAATGAGTAAAGATTAAATTCAGAAAAAAGATACATACAACTAACTGATATGACCTAAATGGAAGGATGACATTCGAAAGGGAGTATTTTGAACAATTAAAATTTGATCAATCAATTAGAGTAGTTTAGAAGCTCACATAGTCCCAGCAACCCTGGTGGTGACATGTGTTTTCTCCTCGTCATGAAGTTTGGCCAGACCAAAGTCTGAGATCTTTGGATTTAGGTCTTTGTCAAGGAGTACATTGGTTCCTTTGATGTCTCTATGAATCATCTTTAGAGGTGATTCTTCATGTAGGTAAGCCAAGCCTTTAGCTATGCCAACACAGATCTTTTGCCTAGTTGGCCAGTCCAGTTTTGGTTGACAGTCTTCAGGACCTGCAGTTCACTACAAATTGAAACTAGGCCAATATTCACACCAAACCACACACACACACACACACAGAGATGAAGATATAAACATCAGAATCATGCCAGTTACGTTATTGAGGGAGCATTGGGATCACCAAACTTCTTTTTGTTTTGGCGTGGTGTCCTTTTTTACTTTTACCTCAAGTAAACACCAATAACCAGTGTAACCCACAAGTGGGTCTAGAGAGGGTGGTTCATATTTAGCCTTAACCCTACTCTGTGAAGGTAGAGAGCTCAAGTAAAATATATCAAAATCAAGTATGAAAAAATAACATTACCAAACAAAACATGGGAAAGGTTATTGTTCTCCATGTACTCATAAACTAGTAAAAGTTGGTTCCGCTCAACACAACATCCGTAGAGTCGGACGAGATTTGGGTGATGTAAGCCTGACATCATGCCTATTTCATTCACAAATTCACGGTTCCCTTGTCTTGACTTGGATGAAAGCTGCTTGACAGCAATTATAGTACCATCTGCTAGAGTACCCTGAGCATCAAAAAAAATTCATGAAGAGCATAATTTGTCTGAAATATCCAGTAGAATTTCCACAGAGAGGGAAAAGAAGAATTATGAGAATTTGTATATATGAACACCTTGTAGACAGATCCAAATCCACCTTCACCAAGCTTATTTGCAGAATCAAAGTTACTTGTGGCAGCTTTAATTTGTCTGAAAGTAAATATACCAGTTTGCAGATCTAGTCCTCTTAATTC